ACCAACTCTTTACAATTGCCTGTAAACTGGCATAATAAACATATTATAAACATGCACCAAGAACACGTTTAACTGAAGCGCTTCCCTTCACGATCCAAAAATTTTGACGGATAGCCCCCAATACTTGTGCCACTTCGCGGTGCTCTTCTAGTTCGTGAAAATAGTTGATTATTAAATCTGTCCCAGGATGACAGTTTGGAAGAATCATAGGATGCTTAAACGACTCATTGTAACTCGAGTAGTTCAAGCGACCTCCCACGCGCATTGTACCATTAATTAGATCGGGACACAAGCGCCTCAAACCACTGGATCGTACGGTTTTTCTTCTACCATCAGCATCCATTTGAGTAGATTGGAGAATAGTTAATTCTTGAGTAAAGCGCTGACACTGTACGTACTTTATCAAACCATTGGTAGCCTGACGCATCTCCGTGACTCGAATATGGCCCATCATCAATGTCTCTTGAGGCGCCTTGCCAGCAGAAACTATAATGTACTGCATGAAACGCAGGAGCCAGACCACGGTCCTTTGTAACCTGGTCCAACTTGAAAAACGGTTAACCAGTTTATCCAAACTGTCACATTGACTTAAAAACATGAACATGAACTGTCGTTCTTTTGAATTCCAAATCTTCGGGCTGCATCAGAGGAGGCTGTGCAAGCCATTCGCTCTCCGGTCGAATTAAAAAGTCTGGCCCGCGCAATTGCTTTGGCAAGAACGCAAAATTGCACGTCCCCCGCGAAGCTTTGTCTGCTGGGTTAACACCCGAATCCACAAACCTCCACTATGAAGTTGCCGACAAATCATGAATAACCGTCAATCGATTGGCCACAAATGTGCAGAATCTGGTTGATTCATTGTGTATATAGCATAAGACTATCGTAGTATCAGTCCAGAAAGTTACACTTTTAAAATACGTACTAGTAGCTAACTGAATGAGGTCAGCCACGCGTACAGCCAGGGTTGCAGCTGCCAACTCTAATCGTGGTATAGAAACAGTTTTGAGAGGTGCGACGCGTGCTTTTGAACAAACGAGTGAACAGTGTAAGTTCTGTGTTTCGTTACTGAAACGAGCATAAGCAACTACGCTATATGCTACTTCTGACGCATCGCAAAACACGTGTAATTCGGTCTGCAGTAGATCGCTGATGCCTTTGGGTTTAAGACATCGAGCCAGCTGAAGCATTTTTTGACTCCGTAAGTTTGAGATCCAGTTTTCCCATCGAGATCTCTCGTTGACGGATAATTGCTCATCCCATTTCAGTCCGCTTTTTGCATAAAGATTGCAATAAGCACTTTCCCGGTATCAGCCAAGGAGAAACGAAACCAAAATGGTTATAAAGAGAAGAAAAACAAGACAGAATGCCTCTACGAGTCGACAGTTTCATAGGTATGTTGAGGCTTATCGTGAGCATATCAGAATTCGTATCCCACTGCAACCCTAAAGTTCTTTCAGTTGGTAGAGTATTGACAGCAATATCTCGCATATTAGAAAAAAGTTCGGTCGCACTGATGTGTGAAAGCACGCGGCGGTCATTGGACACCCAGTTTCGCATACGAAAGCCCCCTGAGAGAGTAGCGCGCAAACTTCGCCCACAAAACGTTTAGCGGAATCCTCATCGCCTTACGAAAGCAGAAAATCATCAACGTAAATACTCCGATGAATCGCTTCGCAAGTTGATGAAGAGTAGGATGAACCGAAATCTTCAACTGTTTTTTGCATCGTGAATGCTGCACAAAATGGCAAAGAAGTTAACCCGAATGTATGAGATGTCCACTGGAACTCAACTGGTTCCCCCACTGATCCCTCACTTTCCCACCACAGGAATCTCAGAGCAGGTCGATCAACCGGATACACTTTCACTTGTAAGAACATCTCTTCTATATCCCCTGCCACTGCAATTCGTTCTAGTCGGAAACCCAACAACACGCTTGCTAATTTTGCGTTTAGATCCGGCCCTTGGTAGAGGTGATCATTTAGAGACACGCCCTGGCACTTTGCAGCACAGTCAAATACAACGCAGATTTTGTCTGGTTTTCGAGGGTTTACAACAGGATGATGAGGTAAATACCAGCGCCTTAGTACCGGAAACGTTTTGTTACTCTCAACTCGCTCGATGTATCCCTTTTTCCTGTAGGAACTGAATGTTTGCTCGTATTTTTCAAGTAATTCAGGCTGTCGATCCAACTTACTCTTGAGATGGAGCAATCGTTTCCGCGCTAAAGAATACGTTTCCGGGAACTTCGACGTACTATTTCTCCAAGGAAGTGACAGTTGGAAATGCCCCTTTATGCGCGTAACGGACGAACGTGCCATAGCCAGAGCCCATTCATCCTCCAACGAATAACTCGCGATTATTGCTGACGTGTCCGAAAACTCAGAGTCGTATAAGTGTTTGATGTTTTACGTCACCTCCCTCTCTTGGTTAACAATACAGTGGCAGATAGCGTTATCTTCTAATCTGTCGCGCGAAGATCCAAGCAACATCCAGCAAAGCAAAGTTTTCACGGCAAACGGTTCCCTTTTTCCACCCAGGCATTGGTCAAGTACCCAATGAGCTTCCACGACATCGTTTCCAATAAGTATGCCGACCTCACAATCCGTGAGCTTGTCGAACACTACACCGCTCAGGTGTGACCATGAAGATGCCAACTTCTTAATGGATGGTTCCGCACGTAATGGCAAGTCTTCAACTACTAGAGCCCTTTCAACTTCAACTGATTCGCTTTCATTCATGGGCAGCAGTCTTAGGTCCCTGACTTCCGAGTTACATTCGATAGACCCACTTAATGTGTTGATCGTCGATG